TTAGAGGGCCATTTGGCAATACCTATGAAAATTCTGAACACACATACCTTCAACTCAGCCATTCCACTTCCCAGGAACCCTACAAATGTACTCAAGCCCCCAAAAATCTGCACAGAAGCTGACATTCTGCTGAGACACACTAGTTTACAATCAGGAGGAGCTCCTTCGATTTGGATGGTGAGCCCATGTTCTCTCAATTGTTAAGTATTTCAGATATAAGTGGACTATCTTTTTGTGCTTAGTTACAAACTAGAAACTATTTAAATACTCATCACTAAGCAAATTGTTACATAAGTGAAAAAAACAAATTGCAGAATATCATTATTGTTTGGATCATTGACTAGGGGTCAGAGTGACAGGATAAATTACTCAACCTCCCCAGACTCTGACAACTTCATTTGTCAGATGGGGTAATAAGGAATACTTCTTAGGGTTGTTTTCAGGAATAAATAAGACTAAATAAGTGAAGTGTTTGGACACTGCCTGGAATGTTATATTCAACAAATGATTGTATTCTTTTTATTAATGATTCTTATGCTCTCATCTTTTTTTTTTTTTTTTTAAGTAAGCTCTATACCCATGGGGCGCCTGGGTGGCTCAGTCGTTAAGCGTCTGCCTTCGGCTCAGGTCATGGTCCTAGGGTCCTGGGATTGAGCCCTGCATCGGGCTCTCTGCTCAGGGGGGAGCCTGCTTCTCCCTCTCCCACTCCCCCTGCTTGTGTTCCCTCTCTCGCTGTGTCTCTCTCTGTCAATAAATAAATAAAAATCTTTAAAAAAAAAAAAGTAAGCTCTATACCCAACGTGGGGCTTGAACTCACGACCCTAAGATCAGGAGTCACATGGTCTACCCACTGAGCCAGCCAGGCACATCCCCTTACAGTCTCATTTTCATGCATTATTTTGTTTAATAAATATTTATTGAGTATCTATGATGTATGAGGCATTGTGCTAAGTGCATGAAGATTTAATAATGATCATACATTTTAGTAGAGGAGTCAAAGGAAAACAAGTTAACAGTCAAATAAGCAAAATAATTAAAAACTGTGGCTATGGAAGAAATAAAGGGTTGAGCTAGATCCATGGTTCTCAACCAGAGGTAATCCCTGCGTCCCGCCCCCTCCCCACACACACACCATTTCTATCCCCTCTGGAGGACATATGGCAATGTCTAGAGATGTTTTTATTTGTCACAACTTGGTAGAGAGGGTAATACTGGCAAGTAGTGGTTACCAGCCAGGGACACTGATAAACATTGCACAGGACAGCCCCTGCAACAAAGAATTAGCCAGCCCCAAATGTTAACAGGGCTGTGGCTGAGAAACCCTGAGCTAGATGGTGGGGGGAGGGGGGAGGGGGTACATGAATTTAGGTCAGGAGGTCACAGAGACTTCTCTGGAGTGACATTTAGGCCAAATTTTGACTAATGAAAAAGAGCCAGACTTGCAGCAAGTGGTGTGGGTCCATCCTGGGCACAGTGAAAACAACAATAACAATGAAAAATCCCTTACATTAGTGTGTTGTATACATATGCCCCTACGGAGAGCAAAGGGGGCAATTAAGAGATCTTTCATGTTTCACTGTGTATGGCTGTCTTGTTGAATTTTGGAGAATAGCTTTTTTTCTTCTTTTTAAATTTAAAAATGGGGAAGGGGCAGTACAAAAAGCAGGCAGATTGGAAGACAGCCTCTTGTAAAACTACAGGTAGATTTCAGAGAAGAGGGAGATCTTAGAGTATGCCCCACCTGTTCAGGAGGCCCTGGTGTATCATCTGTGGTTAGTCTCTGCTCTTCACCACCTTCTAAATCCAATGGACCTTCCCCCAAAGAATGACAGAGATCACCTGCTTTAAAGCCAAATATCTATGTCCAATACTTGGTTTTATACCTTTTAGTTTCGTTATATTTGATGTGTTATTTATCTTGACTTTAAGGGGGAAAAAATAACCCACCTTACAGTTTGTGTATTTAAATAAGTGTTTCATAAACTGGAAAACATAATATAGATACACACTGTTGCGAATATAAGGGGAGAGGCTGTGCTCAACTAATAAATCTTTTTGCTCTATTTCCTTGATTCCAAACCCCCTCTAGGTGAAGAGCGATGAGGACTGGACTAGAGAGGGCAAAAGCCTGGGAAAGGAAGTGCAGACCAGGAGGGAAGTAATTACAAAAGAAAGTAGTAGCCCCAGTTACATTATTCATGCAACTAAGAGGAGGAGAGTAATCCGGGTGGATAAAATCACCACAAGCTGGTTGTTGTAGCCCAAGCCCTTGGAAAGACAATGGCCAGCTTCTCCTCAAGCAGCCGAAGACCCTCTGACCTGAGATGTGAAAAGATGATTATGGAATCCTCCTGCACTGTTTGGAGCCCGGCAGTCTGCATATTTTATAAAAGTATCTGTTCCCCAGAGACTGGAAGCCAAAGGGATCCAGCAACTGTGTGAGTCATCATTCTTGCTGGAGGGAAATCGTGCTTAATCAATGGTGGTCCAGTAGATGAATGAAATAAATACATTCTCTGATCACCTGACAGACCTGGTATATATATAAAAAATAATTGCACCTATCAACACACTTTCCTGGTTTATTTGCCTTTCTATGTTTCTTTTTTTTTTAGAAGATTTTATTTATATTTGACAGAGAGAGAGCGTGCACAAGCAGGGGGAGTGAGAGAGGGAGAAGTAAGCTTCCCGCGGAGCAGGGAGCACGATGCGGGCTCCATGCGGGGCTCGATCCCAGGACCGCGGGATCATGACCTGAGCCTAAGGCAGACGCTTAACGACCGAGCCTCCCAGGCGCCCCTGCCTTTCTATGTTTCTTGTTGAGTTTTTGCCTGGGAAGGGTTTGCAGGCTGTGAAAAGTAACTTAACTTACACAACTCTGTGTCTTTTCTTGGCCTTGAGGCAGCTTCAAAAGATGACACCAAATGGAACTATGTGTGCCTAGAGGGAAAAAATAAATAATGGTGAAAAATGTTTATCAGCAGCCTTCTCCAGCACCAAGCACTTTCTCACTTTTACTCAAGTAATTTTCCAATTTAACATTCATATGAATTCAGCCAATAATATGTAGCAAAAGTGAATCCATAGCATTTCTTTTAGCACTGGAAGGAAACCCAAAAGTCATTAAATCAGTTTAATCGAGAAGCCCTGCCTGGGACATTAAGGGACTGACAGAGCCAGAACTGAAACTTGTTTTTCCACCTTGAGAAAAGCAAATAAAAAATATCCTAAGCAATTGCTGGTTTTTCGAGCCCACTCTCTCGGGTTGTTTTTCTTCCCTGTGTTATGCAGACTCTAGGCACTTTCTTCCCAGAATGCAACAATCCAAAGCTCTAAACAAGTTTGGGACCAGCCTTGGGCAGGGGTGGGGGTGGGAGAGCCATCGCACAGAATGGTGCCGGTGTTCCTCTTTGGTGCATCTCGCCAGATTTAATGCAGCTTTGATAGGATTCGCTCGAGCAAACGGTGAGCACTGGCCGGATCAAGCCGGGCCTCCAGCAAGAGAGTTTAAAGTTCGACTGTTTTCCTCCTCGCAATTTGAAAGAGGCTTCTAATTCTCCCCGCCCCTCCCCCTTCCCCTGTAAAGTTTGTTTTCTAGCTATAAAGTCGCTTCAACTCTCGGTTTCCATCCCGGTTGCCTGAGAATCGCAGTAATTAGCCAAGTTCACTTAGACGAAGAAAAAGATACCTTTGTGTACCTAATGAGAGCCACCGCGTGGCCAAGGATAACCACGCAGAAGGAAACATTTTTGTCTCGGGCTTCTGTAAACGGGCGGGGGGAGGGTTAAGCCGACCCGAAGGCGTGTTTTGTGGAGTGGCTTCGAAAGCGGCCGAGGCAGCCGAAGCAGCTTTCGAAGTTAGCAAACAAAGCGTCTCCCCAGTAACCGCCCGGTTCCAGACGAGGCTCCTGCCACTCAGACCGCGGAGTCGCAGCGTCGGCCGGCCCCCGGCTCCTCCTCCCTGCGTCTCTCTTCCCTCCTCCCAGTTCCCCAACGGATACGAGCCACCAATCCCCGCAACAAACAACCCTTCAAATGCAAGAGCGCCGCGGCCCTCTAACGGGCGGCCCCCTACCCCCTCCCCGCCCCACATCTGTCCTGCACCCGGGCGCAGCAGCTGATTCATCTCCAGCCAGGCCCGGGGAAGGAACTGCGCTCCAGCAAGTTGCAGGGTAGCTTCCAGGCTGGTGGTTTCCCCTAGGACCATGTTTCCCCCCCTTTGCCGTTTTAGATGTGTGTTCTCTTAGGTGCCGAGCAGTCGGCAAACCACAGAAGAAAAAAATCGTAAGGTTGCTGCCTTCTTAGAATGACGCTTTTTTCCTTGTTTATTCATTTTAAGTCCTGTAATTGGTAAAACCACCCAAGCTTTGTAAACTCTGGCCTTAATTCACTCTCGAGGCGGGGGTGTCTTTTTTTGGGAGGGCGAGTGGGTGGGAGGCTGGCTTTAATTTTTAGTGTAATCCTAAAACAGAGGCTCCAAAGTCTAGTTAGTCATCGTTTGGCTGCCTTAGTCTTCCTCGGGTTTAACCTTATTTCCACGGAGCTTTTCCTGCCGGCTTCTCCATCGAAGTTACAAAACAAAAACAGCACAGAGTCGAAACTGGAGGCAGACTCGGGCGCTGACGTCTCTACTAGGCTTATTTACGGTTTGGCTTTTTTTTTTTTTTTTTTTAAGTGATGGGGAAAGTCTTACAGCGGCATGCGACAGTTCGTTTACTTCAAAAACAACGGGACACACACGCGAAAACTAGACCCAGCGGAGAGGGCGGGGAGGGGGCAGGCGTTTCTTGAAATCAGCCAAACAGCATCTGGTCTTTTAAAAGGGTAATCTCATCAAGGAACTCCTGTTGGAGCCCTAACTCTCAACCAAAATAAACCAACAGGAACATGTGTTTACTCAATGGGTAGTTTCTGTTTGAAATACCCGAGGGGAGAAGGGGTCCCCTAACAGGGCTTAAGTCCTAAAAGTAGACTGTTTACCGAAACAGATGAGCAGCCCCAGTGTGGTCGCCCCCTTTCCTTAAAGGCGGCATCCGCCTGGGTCCGAGGGTGGGGGTTTCAGGCCGAGTTTTTGCAGTGCGGCGAGCGCGCGCCCGGGCAGTCCCCAGGCTGAGACTTTTTAAAGAGCATGTGAGCATGACAAGTGTCTGTCCGCAACGTGTTAGATTTTGAAACTGCCTTGCAATCCAGTCCGGAACTCACGGCCTTAGCCCGGGGTAACAGACATTTGCCTGGGGTGTCTGTGTCTCACCCTCCTCCCCTAACCGCCCCCACCCACCCACCGCCGTCCGGGTTGGAGGAAGAGCCCCGGGAAGGGCAGGGTGCGACGCGCCGCACCCGCGTGTCAATGGCAGCCGCGCATTCTGGAAGAAGTTGGTTCTTGTCCCGAATACTTTTCCTACGGTGCCCCGCCCCTTGAATCAGAAGCAGCTGTCTTCTCCTGCGGCTAGAGCCGGGACGGTGGAGTTTGGGGCAGCTGTCAAAAACGAGGGGGGAGCCTTTTCTTCCCCGGGGTGGAGGAGGGGGCAGCCTTTTTCCATCTGTTGCAATTTCCTAACCAAACGCACCCTCGCCAGCCCGAGGAAGAAAGGCCCAAAGGAGAAACCCGGGCGCCCGGCTGGTGTCGCTGCCGCCGCCGAGCGAGGGATGCGGGCGGCGTGCGCGCAGCAGGGAGGAAGGATCGGGTTTCTGGGCCCAGCCGCCCCTACGAGGGACGGGTGACAGCGGCCGGGGAGGCGCGGAGTGAGGCAGCGCGGCCCGAGAGCTCGGTGCTGTCCTCCCCAACTGGAAGGTGCGGGGGAGGGGCGGAGGAGCGGCGGGGCGGGCGGGGGACGGGGCGGGCGGCTGGGGGCGGAGGCAGGACCTCCTGTACCTTCCCTCTTCGCCTCTCTCACTCTGACAGCGCCGAGGTACGACGAGCAGGAGCGGGGAACAAAGGAGAGGGGTGGGGAGGGGAGTGAGTTGGGCGAGGGAGAGTCCCCAAGCCGGCTGCCAGAAGATCCCGGCAGGAGGAAGCCCAAGTGTCACTTGAATTCCACCCTAGGAGCGGGCGCCTGGGATCCGAGCGCCTTGATTAGCAATAACGGCTGGAGCGCGTCCTACAAGTTACGGGAGAGTCGGTCCGGAAGGAGGACAATCGTGTGCCCCCTGCGCCCCCGCTCCTGGCCCCTCGCGACCCCAGCATCGCCTCGCGCTGGAAGGGGAGTTCCAGAATGAAAAGCAAGAAAGGTAAGGCTTGACGGGCTGTGCCCGCCGTGGGCGCGGGTGCCGGGGAAACGTGCTCGCCGGGCCCCACCGGGCCCCTCCGGGCTTGGGGCGAGAGTGACTTGGTGGACTTTTCAGCCCCGGGCTCTCAGGCAGGAACCGCCGCGGTTCTCTTTGTTGAGGCTGCGTCTGAAATGGCAGTTGCTGTTTTCCTTCTAGACACAACACGAGGGGCTGTTGTGGGGAGACGGGCCTCTCCACGCTGCTGGCACGTTGTCAAGAAACACGCTCAGCGCCTTGTTTGTGCGCCTCCAAGTTTCATTGTCTCAGCGGACACCCCACACTCCGCGGAGCCGCCGCGTGGCTTCTCGCTGGTTCTTGCGGGCGGAGGTGTGGGCCTGGTCGGGAGACCCCCGCCCCGATTCTTCCGGCCGGGACCGCGGAGCGGCGGCGCCTTTGTCTGAAAGTTGTGCTCCCGGGCCCCCGCTCCCTCCCAGCTGGGCCCGGACACTCTCTTCGCTGGGGATGGGGTGTTTTCACAATCAAGGAATGCGACTCTGGCCCCCAAACCGCCCGAGGGTGTCGGTAGCCTTGGAAAGCTAGACTTTTAAAAACTCCTAGCCTCTAAAAGTTTTCCCACGATGAATTTGGAGCAAGATGAAGAGTTAGGACTGACGGCGAGCAGCTTAAAGCGGCGTGTAGTCAGAATGAGTCCAAGTGTGACAAGCAGGCTTGGTTGTAAGTGCACAGAGTGAGTCTGTCATTGTTTCCACGAAGCGTTCTGGAAGCGTTACAACTAAAACTTGCCGTCAGTCTGGTTTAAAAACAAAATACACAGGGAAAAAAAAAACCCACCGCCACGAAAGGTCAAAGAATGTTAACTCCCTTTTGAAGTTAACTTTTTGAGTCCCTGACTGGGAGGTACCCCGAACGTTCCGTGGTGAGCCAGAGTTGGCTTTTCTGTTGTGATTTATGTGGAGTGGTTCAAAACAGAAGTTAATCTCTCAGGGAAGCCAGCGCGGGGGCGGGGGGGGGGGCGGCTGCTGCGCATGCCCAGGAGCGTCCCGGAGTTTTTGTAACTCCACATTCTTTCAGACTCGTCCAGCGGATACAGCCAAAACTCAGTATTGTTAGTGGGGCAGCCTTCAACCCGAGAGGGTTCCTTCGGCCACGTTTTCACCTTGGAGTTCTGTTCCTTTCATTCTGGGCCGGTGGCTTCAAAACACACGGAGTTTCTTAAGCCATGTTTTCCCAGGGAGAGTAAAATTAAATGTCAACACCCGGGACATTCATAGTAGTTGGTGGTAGGACTCCCAGCGAACCATCCCCCAAGGGACAGTTGAGAACGTTGAGGGGTTAGAGGTTCGGATGTTTAAAAGGACTCGGTAACAAACGCGCGCGGGGAGCGCCCGGGGTGGCGTCTGGGAGGCTGTGTCACCTCGACAAGGACTGACCGGTCTAGATCCTTCCTGGAAGGCGTTCTCGCTCTCCTGGTGGAACTGACGATCGGTTGGGTTTGTTTTTGTAGAGTGGGTCTTGGGAGCCGAAAGCAAAGCTGGGTTTCCGCCGGGGGCGGGCTCCCCCCATTGTTCGGGCTCGGATGGGGAAAGCGCAGATCTGCCTCGCAGATCCTCCCCCGCAGCCCCTCGGGTACGCTCCCGCGGCTCTCCTCGTCCCCCCCACCGCCAGCGCCCCGCGCCCTTCCCCGGAACCCCCTCTCGAGTACCTCCCGGTCTCCCTCCCCCCCACCCCCCAGCAAAGGAACTAGGCTGGCCGCGGGGTGGGAATATTCGGGGTCAGCGGCCCGGGGCGCGCCGGGTAAGGTCCTGCCTGCTACCGAGCGCCGACTCATGGAAACAATGAAAGGTGACGTGTTGGAAGGGAAACTTTGCGACTGGTTCACAGCTTGTGCGGGGGAGCCGAGACTGCTGAGATTGCCCAGTTTCTTTCCCTTTTTAGGTTTTCCCGGCAAATCCTATTGAGGGTGGGCAGACCCCTCAGAATGTTGAGATTCACAGCACCGTTTTCTAGTTTCTTCTTGTAATCTGAAACTCTTTAAGTCCTCTAGTCGTGTAGTTGGAGGGGCCCATTTCAGTTGAGGCTGAGAAACTCGCAAGAACAAAAGCCTCCCTGGCTGTCCTCCCTCCTGGGCCCCTCCCTCTCCTCCTGTCCTCCTGCGTCCTGCCTCCCCGCCCCTTTCCTAAAACTACCTTGGAGGGGGCCCGCGTTCCGGGTCTGCTCAGCCAGGAGCCGGGAAGAAATCTGTCCTGCTTGGCTTGTGCAGTTGGACTGTTGTCTGTTTTATAAAAGTCTGTGAAAATCTTTTCAAGTTTTCTTGGAGACAAAAGTACTTTAAACTCAGTTGCAGGGCCCGAGATTTGGTAAGCCTGGTTTGTGATAATAGTGTCTCGTCTTTAGAAAGCTGAGGATATCAAAAGGTTCCCACCCCGCGACTGGCTTTAAAACAAGCAGAGAAGATGCAGTGAGGAATGTCCCCGACGTCTTTTTACTCCTAGTTTCTGTCAGTTTGGAATTCTTGCTTTAGAACTGCTCTCCAGCTGGGTCCAGCCAAGCGCACCTTGGAGTTTGTGCCTGGGGTGTTAACTACGATTCCCGTGACATCTCCTGAGATACTCTAATCAGGAAACTTGTTAGGTTAGGTTTCCATTTTTCCTAATTGTATACTTAAACTTTTCCTTCGATTATTCCTATTTCTAGATCCTTCTCTGGCATCTTCCAGATATTTTTAAAAAGTCCCAACTTCACAACCACGATCTCTGGCCTTCCCTCGCCACCCCCAACCCCAGGTCCTATTAAGAAAAGATTGATTTTTCGCGCTGTGGGATCCATAGGCCATCTTGTGGCTTTCTGAACATTTCCTTGTATGTGGATGGGGTAAGAGGCTTGTGATCCCCCTCCCCCGCCACCACATTTTTTAAAGTGTAAGCAGAGCAGGACCTTTGGAAACAAGTGGTAACCGGGAAACTTTTCAAAAGCTGTTACAATAGGAAATGAGTAACGTGGAAAAGTCTTTTTGTTTTTCCAAGCTGAGCCACAATCCGGAGGGAGAGTTTTAATGAAAACAGTCCTGACAGCAGCAAACGTGGTTTGCTGCAGTGAAATATCAGCTGGTGTGGCCAAGGAACTTGAAGTCTTAACTTCCTGTTACTTCAGCTTTTGTGCACATATTGGAAATACTTGTTAAGAGGTCCAGAGGCCTGGCATTCATTTATTTAAATGAACTGAGAACAGAGTAAAGTCACACTGCAGTTTAGTGTTGCTTAACTGAAACCCTTTTGTGTGTCAACTAACCTATTCTGAAAGATCAGGCTTCTTGTCAAACTGAGCAAGCAGATCAAAGGGCAGGCTTCAGGGGTTTTTTGTTTGTTTCAAACTCTTTGTTATTATCAACTTACAGTTGGGAATTCACTGTTCACTGAGGAAATTTTCACACTTTTCTAGTTTGGGGGGGGTGGAGGAGGATTATAGGCTTGAGAAGAATGTCTGGCTTTTCAGACATTGAAGAGTTTAAACAAATTGCTTTATTCAAATTTGCCTTAGTCATTCAATTACTTGACACATTTTTTAAAAGTTAGATTTCTTTATTAAGGTAAATGTAAAACAGGAACTCATTTCTAATTTCTTAAGGTATTTATTAATAGTTCTTTACCCAAATTTCAATATAGGTTTTAAAAGTTTCTCATCTATTCTACAGTGAAAGCAGTTTCAGTTTTAAATGTGCCTCTTTTTTTTTTAACTTTTTTTTTTTTAAGCAGTTTAATGAAAACTTCTGGGAAAGGGAACATCAAATACATGGCGGTTAAAACTTCGGATTCTTGTGCTGTTTATTGATGGCTGTTTGTTAAGCCTTGAGCTAAAGTGAATTTGCAAGATCATCCTGCTCTTTTGTTAGAACTTGCTTTACTTTGTCTTTGTAAGGTTCTGCCTTTTCTGTGGACACTCCCTCCAGCACCATCTGCCCCCTGCAGTCCAAAACTACAAATGTGTCCCCAAGTGAAGTCAGACTCAATTAACTGTGAGCTAGCTCATCAACGAATCTTGGAATGAGTAACTTTTTGAGTGTTAAAATGCCTTAAAAGGATGGGTTAAAAAATGTTTTTAATGCATCGAATGGTTTATCACTGTGGAATATTTCTTTTATTTTTTTATCAAGGTAAACCACTCTGAATTGCATCAACAAAGTTAAGAACTTTCAATTTTCTTTCAATTTCATGTTATTTTAATTGTCTTTATATAGAAATACTGGTATTTTCAAGCATGCGATAGTTTGTAATTCATTTACATTTTAAACATTCTAGATTGTCTTCAAAATAGAGAATATGTTTCTTTATAGTCATTCAGAGTTGCCAGTTGTCGTTTTGAAAGGGGGGAGGGTTCGTAGCATTTGTAATTTAAATTTTTTAAAGTTCTCAAAATTATGTTTAAATGTTAAAGGAGCCAGGTCTGAATTTTTGTTGACCCCAGTCTATTATATGTGATGTAAATATTCTCTATGGCTGTGAATTCTTAAGATTTCTGGTAGGATTAAAGTACTTACAGACAAAAGAGAGTTTCCGGGGGGGGGGTGCATATTCAGTTTTCTTTGTCATGTAATAATTTAAGACTGAACTATAGTTCTTGGTATCTAGTATTTAGATTTTGATTAAACTGCCAGTTGAAATTTATAGAAATTTAAAAAGTTTATTCAGTATTAGCATCTTTTGACCTCTTACTCAAGTACTAGGAGTAGAAAAATATTTTTGTATAATGAAACTGAAAACTTCAGTGGCTGTTTGTATTTAGTAAAACGTGACCGGTAGTGTTGTCCATTAAAAGTAGGTGTATAGTTTGAATAAATGTAGGTAGCAATGAGAAAGAAATGACCATGGAGTTGGCAGAAAAAATTGACATACATTTTACCTTCAGAAATCTAACTAGGTTGGGGCGCCTGGATGGCTCAGTCGGTTAAGTGTTGTACTCTTGCTTGCAGCTCAGCTCTTGATCCCAGGGTCGTGAGTTCAAGCCCCTCTTTCGGCTCCACACTGGATGTGGAGCCTACTTTAAAAAAAAAAAGATTATATATATATATATATATATATATATATATATATATACACACACTGGGTTGTGTGTAATTTTCCCTCCTTATATAAGTGGGATAAATGTATGACTCTGCCCTTTTGTTTCCAGCTTTCAATGGAAGAAGGAGGCAGAGTAGCATTTAAAATGTACATTAGGACCCTTGGATTGTTTTTCCTAAGTTAGCAGTGACCTCAAAGAAAAGGGTGTTAGATACATTCCATCTGCTGAAGCACCTTTTCTGTTTCGCATGTAACAAACTATTCACTTTGGGTGCAGCGTTGCCCACCCCGCCCGCCGCCGCCCCCCCCGCCCCCCCCCCCCCCAGCTGCACTGGACTTTTCTGAGCATCACTCAGAAGGAATGTGAGAAATTATATTTTACAGGAAAGTGGGTATGAAAGGGCTCCTGACAGTTGGTTGAGAATCTATAACATGCCACTGGTCAGATTACCCTTGAGACTTTGACATGTGGTCTGATACATCAAAATAGAAAATACTGGTCCTTCGCTTGGCTCCCAGGAGTCAAGACAGTATGGTTGCAAGCTATATGGTCAGAAGAGATAAGCTGTCCATTCGGTGCTCCCCTGATAAAAGCCTTTGTCCTTGACCAGGTGTTGTTGCAGCATCAGGCAGTGAGACGGAGGATGATGACAACATGGACATCCCCCTGGACCTCTCCTCCTCTGCTGGTGCAGGCAAGAGAAGGCGAAGGGGCAACCTGCCCAAGGAGTCTGTTCAGATTCTCCGCGACTGGTTGTATGAGCACCGATACAATGCCTATCCCTCAGAGCAAGAAAAAGCATTACTGTCCCAACAAACACACCTGTCTACACTACAGGTAAGAACTCGAAGTGTATGCATGGGGAGGTGGTTTCTTTTCCTTTCCAAAGACATTTTATAGCATTCCTGTTTGTCAAATCATTAAATGCCTCCCCACTCAAAAAAAAAAGAAGAAGAAGAATTTTCTCTTGAAAACTTTAAAAGTACTAAAAGCTAATAACTGACTATTTAGAGAAACAGAAACACTTGACAGTCATCTGTCAAATAGCATTTCCTTTAATGCCTAAAAGGGCCTTCTTTTATGCACCAAACATAAAGAGGAGGTTAAATCTTCCTCTATTGCCCAGGAAACTGGTTTGATATTTAAACAAGGACAGACTTCAGTGAGGTAATTCATGTTATGTCTGTTGACACAGTCATTGGAACTGGGAAAAATCAGTAACTGGGAGAAGTGGCCCTTTTCATACAGGTAAAGTTTTCCTGTAGTTGGTTAACTTAAATGCTGGGGCAGTAGGTAATAGGTTAATAAGGAGGAGCGTTAAAGGGTAAACTTCCCTCCCTAAACTCATTTTCAGACATTTGAGAATTTTTATCCTTTTCTTCCTCCTGAAAAGGCTTAAGGATGATGAGATTTAAAAAAAAAGGGGGGGGGGATTTGTATTAGAAGAGGAGGAGGTTTATGGCAGGAAATAGCTCTCTTTCTTGGCAGTGCTCGAATACCTTGAAATAACTTTGGAAGTTCCGATAAGCCTTTTCATGCCTTCTTTACTGCAAAGAAAGAGATCAATTAGGCATCCCACAGAAGGTTCTCAGAACGTGTCTGCCGAGTGTTGAAGCATACCCGTATGATTTCAGGTCTGTAACTGGTTCATCAACGCCCGCCGCAGGCTCCTCCCAGACATGCTGAGAAAAGATGGCAAAGATCCAAATCAGTTCACAATTTCCCGCCGTGGGGCCAAGATTTCTGAAGCGAGCTCTGTGGAGTCAGCCATGGGCATCAAAAACTTCATACCAGCTCTAGAGGAGAGCCCATTTCACTCCTGTACAGCTGGACCAAACCCAGCACTGGGGAGGCCGCTGTCGCCCAAGCCGTCGTGCCCAGGATCAATATTGGCGCGTCCGTCAGTGATCTGTCATACCACTGTGACTGCCTTGAAAGACGTGCCTTTCCCTCTCTGCCAGCCGGTAGGTGTGGGACAGAACACAGACAGACAGCGGGTAGCGGCGGGCAGCTTCACAGACACCTCCCTCCTGTACCCCGAGGACTCATGTAAATCTGGACCAAGTGCAAATCCACAGAGTGGTCTTTTCAACACTCCGCCCCCTACTCCGCCAGACCTCAACCAGGATTTTAGTGGATTTCAGCTTCTAGTGGATGTTGCACTCAAACGGGCTGCGGAGATGGAGCTTCAGGCTAAACTTACAGCTTAACCCATTTTCAAGAAGAAAAGTTTTCACAGGTGTTATGATTGTCGGGGTGATGGCAAGAGTCGAACTGCATTATTTTATATATTTTTTTATTAATATTTGCACATGGGATTGCTAAAGTGAAGCTTCCTGTTACTGAGAGGTCTTCAATGGAATACAGTCATTCCAAGAACTGTAAACTCAAAGCTACTGTAGAAACAAAGGGTTTTCTTTTTTAAATGTTTCTTGGTAGAGTATTCATAATGTGAGATGGTTCCCAAGATCATGTGATTATTTTTTTTCTCACTCTCTCCCCTTCCCTTTTTTGGTTCGTTTTTTTTTTTTTTTTTTTTTTTTTCAGACTGTGCAATACTTAGAGAACCTATAGCATCTTCTCATTCCCATGTGGAACAGGATGCCCACATACTGTCTAATTAATAAATTTTCAATTTTTTTTTCAAACAAGTATGAATCTAGTTGATTGATGCCCTTTTTTTTCATGATGTAATAAAGTATTTTCTTTAAAATTTACTGTAATGCAGAGTATTTTGTTGAGGGAGGCATTTCTTAAAAACGAGTAGGATTATAGCACCCAATGAGCAGGAAATTGGGGGTAGGGTGGGGTGTGAGTTAGGGGGGTGTCACGAGCTCTTTGAAGAACCGTGGACAACAAGCCAGTACTTATAAACAGGATGTGTGATATTTACTCTTGATAGGAGGCATAAGCAGGGCCTTAAATCTTGACTTAAAACTGCATGACAAACTGAAATGATTCATTCCATCAGTGTTTAGCTAACCACCAAATCCCTTGGTGATCTGTCCTGCATATTTTAAGACATGGCCAGTGTTGAAAAAAGGTCTCAAAGCACCTGATTAGGGCTTAAGTTTTCAGAAGTAAACAACAACCCAGGGGGTCCCTCTGTATTTCCGTCTTTCACATGGCCCTTTAAAATAACCTTTATCAAGTGCTACAGTTACGTTAGGTCTCTACATTCAAACATGGCCTGAATTTGTACAGAAGTCACTTCTTAAAACATCTTAAAACATTTTCTAAAGTGATTAAAACAGTGGGGTTCTGTCTGCCATGGGATTCTTTGTGTATTAGGTTTATTTTCTAAGGTCACTGTGGGTGAAAGCTGGTGCCATACACAAGTGGAGTTTGTTGGGATAGACAATTGCTTACGAAGCCAGGATAGCCAGAAGGGAGTTGGTGGTGTTCCTTTCACTTACATGGTTGACCAAATTTGTCACATGCCACAAAACCATTCTTTGTAGTCATGCTTAGTGTGAGGTTTCTTTGTTATTACAGTCCTGTTCTTTCCAGCCCCGCTCCAGCTAGGAACTGGCTGAGTTTGAGGCAGTATCAGAGCTTTCATACTGCTTAAAGAATGTAGAAGAATTCTTTCAAAAGTTAAGCTTGTCTAATTTTGTCAACTTCTTAAGAAAGTCCCTTCTGTAGAAAGAGCTAAACTCAAAGACTTGTAAATAGAAAAGCAACACCGATAAGTAAAACGAAGAGTTGGACGTCAAGTACGTGAGGCAAGGGTGTGTTCTAGCCTGTGACGGGTGCAGTGCCGAAGGGCATCTCAACCACAGGGTCACAGAAGTAGATGTAAACCAGAAAAAGCAATAATAAAGTGAATAAAAGGAAAGACTATCAAATGTAAGTGAAATAAACAAAGATGACTAAGACTCATAACCTGCTCTAATAGCTAGATCAAAGACTGAAATTCTTTGAATAGAGATAAGGGAGACCTGCGAGTCCTGAAAGGCTTCCCTTGTTAAGATGTTTCATTAATACTAGCAGGGAGAGAGAAGGAGCTGTATGAGTGATTTGAAAGAAAAATGTCAAGGGTCGAATGAAGCCCAAAGGTTTAAAACCAAAAGAGTCCTCCAAAATTGCATGTGTTTTATTTATTTGTTTTTAATCTCTTGAGGTTGATATAGATCCTGGTTGATAATAACTGGTGTGTAATAAATGTAAACCATTAAAAAAAAACAGGAAAATATAACTGGAACGTGAAATGTAAAAGACCATATAACTATACATATTGAAGCCAAATAGAAATGAATTCTGTGCTTAGTATTTACATGATCTCTTTTCACTTACTTTTAGCTCTGTGTTTTTGTGTTTAAAGTTCATCCCTTTTCGATAAGATACTGTTGGGTCTTGCTTTTTATCTAGCCTAACAATCTCTGTCTTTTATTTGTTGTATATACTTGATTCATGTTTAATAGAATTTTTTGTTTACTTTTTTTAAATTTTAGTTTTAATTCCAGTTAACATACAGTGTTATATATATTTAATATAATTTTTGATATGTGTCTTTTTGGTTTTTTTCTCCCTCTGCTCCTCTGCCTTTCAGGTTAATTGAATATTTTTAGTGCTTCATTTGAATTTTTCTATTGGCTTATGAACTATACTTTTTTTTTAATGGTTGTTCTAGGGATGTACAACATACATCTTAAATTTACAACAATCTAGTGTTAATATTCTACAACTTCATACAAATTATGGAAACTTGCAACAGTATAGTTCATTCACTCCCTTTGTTTTTTATATATATTATAGATATATAATAAATCTAACTACAATGGTATAATTTTTGTTTTAAACATGTCCATGTCTCTTTAAAAATTAAAAGAGAATGTATATATAGTCTTTTATTTTTGTTAAATATTTATCACTTCTTTTATTTTTGTTAAATATTTATCACTTCTGGTGCTCTTCATTCCTTCTTGTGAATCCAAATGATATGTTATCATTTCTCTTCAGCTTAAAGAATTTCCTTGAGAATTGTGCAGGCCTGCCACTGACAAATCATCTGTTTTTGTTCATTGAAAATGATTTATTTTACTTTCATCTTTGAAGGACAGTTTCACTAAAGATAGAATTCTGAGTTGATGGTTTTTGCTTTTTATTTTTTTTCCATCACTTTAAAGGCATTTGTTTTCTGGCTTCCATTGTTTGGGATGAGACATCAATTGTCTCATTGTTCTCTTGTATGTAATGTCTTTCTCTGGCTCTTTTATCTTTGGATTTCTGCAGTTGGACTATGATGTGCTTAGGTATGGTTTTCTTTGTATTTGTCCTGCTTGGGGTTGAACTTACTGCATCTGTAAGTTGATGTTTTTGTTTTTACCAAATTTGAGAGAATTTGGCCATTATTTAAATTTTGTTTTCTGCCTTCTTCTCTCTAGAACTTCCGTAGATTTTTATTAGATCCCCTGATATCGTCCTACATGTCTCCAGGCTCTGTTTTTCTTCAATCTTGTTTATTTTTCAAATTGAATAATTTGTATTAAGTAATTTTTTAAAAAAGATTTTATTTATTTACTTGAAAAAAAGAGCATGGGTGGGGGTGGGTGGGCAGAGGGAGGGGGAGAAGCAGACTCTGCTGAGCAGGGAGCCTGACTCGGGGTTCGATCCCTGGACCCTGGGATCATGACCTGAGCCAAAGGCAGACACTTAACTGACTGAGCCACCCGGGTGCCTCTCTATTAAGTAATTTTTTTTTTTCTATTAAGTAATTTTTAATTCACCAACTCCTCTGCTGTCTCTAATAGGCTGTTGAGCCTATCCAATGGATTTTCATTCAGTTATTATATTTTTTACATGTATCATTCCCATCTGGTTCTTTTTTTTATTATTTCTGTTTCTCTGTTGAGATTTCCCCATTGGTTTATTAATTACAAGAATATTTTCTTGTAAGCTATTTACAATAGGTGTTTTAAAGTATTTGTCTATTAACATGTCATAATCAGTCAGTTTGACTGCACTTCGCTTCAGGAAGGGTCACATTATTTTTTTGCTTGTCTAGTGATTTTTTTTTACTTTATGCTAGACATTATAGATGATATCTTAATAAGGATTCTGGATTCTGCTACATTTCTCTGAAGAGTGTTATTTTTGTTCTGGCAGGCAGTTCATTTGGCAGGACTGAAACTTCAAAATCTGTCTTCCCTGTCATAAATAGTAGCTCAAATGTCTGATCAGTTCTTTCAGTTTTGAGCTGTAGCCTTTTAGTGGGCCTATAGGGATCTCCCTGCACAAGCGGGCCAAGGATTTGGACAGAGTTTAGATTCAGAGTTAGGTTTGCTCCTTCTGCTGCTCCCTCCTTTGCAGCATTCCTTTCCTAACTTTCCATCTGCTCTGCCAACTCCAGCTCTGTCCTTAATATCTCAGGTCGCTGAGGCTGCAGCTTTCTCCCACTCTAGTGAAGAAGAGAGCCCTCAAGCATCAAGCCACAATCTGCGCATCTTATTCCTGCAAGTTCCCTTCTTTTAATGGTAAACAACCCTCCAGTTTTTACCTGCTGCTGTTGGTCATTCTCAGGCCTCCAAGTAGCTTTTTGTTTAATTTTTTGTTCACATTTTGTTATTATTACCTGTAAGGAAGTTAGTCTGTAAAGAAATGACTCCATCATTACTAGAAACTAGAATTTTACTATAGTTACCTTTAAATGCTAAATCATGAGTTCTCAACTTTACCTGCGAATTGGAATCACTGGAAAGCTTTAAAAAAAAAAACAAAAACAGGGGTACCTGGGAGTCTCAATTGGTTAAGAGTCTGCCTTTGGCTCAGGTCATGGTCTCAGGGTCCTGGGATCAAATACCACATTGGGCTCCCTACTCAGTGGGGAATCTGCTTGTCCCTCTCACTCTCCCACTGTGCTCTCTCCCCTGTCTCTCTTTCAAATAAATAAAATATTTTTAAAAAAAAAAGTAACAACAACATAAAACAAAAACAAAAACCTGTGGCTTGGCTTATTAGCCAGTTTCTCTACATAAGTAGAAAACTAGTTCTCTTTCCATACCTTAAAAAAAATTGTTTTTTTGCTTTTTGTTGCGGTATTAGACAATTTTTGTAAGAAATGTAATTTGGAGCCCCTGGGTGGATCGGTTGGTTAAGCATCTACCTTTGGCTCAGGTCCAGGATCCCAGGACTCAGGTCATGATCCCAGGGTCCTGGCAGCTGGCTCCCTGCTCAGCAGGAAGTCTGCTGCTCCCCCTGTTTGTGCTCTCTCTCCGTCTCTTTATCTCTTTCTCTCTCTCTGACAAATAAATAAATAAAATCTTAAAAAAAAAAGAAATAGCAATAATTTATGGTTGATGGTCATAGGAGGACAGCTAATAAATGAGGGAAGCATGATAAAGTGATGAATACAGTAATAGGTACTACAAGGATTTCATCAAATGGCAAGGAAATAGTTTTTGAATGAAATGTTTCATAGACATCAATAGAATGTACCACCTTTGAAGTGCTGAATGGTTGACTTGCAAATGAAATGAAATTCCATGGTGGGAATTCACTCAGACTTGGAGAGAACATATATAGAGACCAGACATTTAACTAAATAACATACAGGTAAGGAAAATGAAACCATAGAGGGGTTTTAAGATAAATTTTTGTTTTGAAATTTGATTTACTCAAATGATTCTGTGAAAAGTCAATGTGTATCACATTAGTTAACATTCTCCCCCCCCCCCCCCCCCCCGCAGCTTATGTGTATAGTAAATCTCCACAATCT